AGCCACAATTCCTTCCCATCACTTCAATGATAAAAGCACGTGAATGACTATATGCTGTAGATGCAATGCAGTCAACAGCTTCACAAATTCGATGTAACGAGGTAACAGCTCCAATGGTCAGATCAGTTGATGACATATCATTATCAATTGAACCAACCATTCCTACAATTGTTAGATTATTATGAGATGCTGCCTCTTCCTTTGTAACTCTCCCTATCCAGTGAAATTATTATATTTTAATATTAATGCTACTAAGAATCAGATAACATTTCATCATTGATTATTATTACCCAATTTAACCAATTCTTCTATCAACCCAGGCCATTCTGATCTAAAAATATCTGCTCCAGTCAACGAACCATCACCTCCACACACAATTAATGAATCTATTTCATTCTTAATCAAATTGTATGCTGCTTTTAATCTGCCATCACGTTCTTGAAATTCTTTACAACGAGCAGTTTTTATAAGTGTACCACCCTAATAATTGGGAAGAAGAAATGTGTCAAGTTATTAAAAATGTATATAAATATATTAGTTTTTTTTTTGTAAAATGGATTTAAATTATTATTAATTTAAAGTTAATGCATATTCCTAGCATCGTAATCTTGGAAAATTTAGAACTATCGTGATTGTTGGAGAGGGAGCTATTGATAAAAACTTGCAACCAATAAAAGCTGATTACATCAAAGATCTTTTAAAAAATAATATGGGTCTTGATACCAGAGTTACAACATTGGGTCATATACAACGTGGTGGAAGACCATGTGTCTTTGATAGAAATCTTGTAAGTAATAAGTAATTTATATCAATATATGAATTTATCATTATTAAAAAAAAACTTTTTTTTTAAAAAAAAGGCAACTTTACAAGGTTATGAAGCAGTAAAAGCAATTCTTAATGCAACGCCTGATAGTGAATCACCTATGATTGGAATTAAAAAAAATAAGATTACATGTGAACCTTTAATGAAAGCAGTTAAATTAGTATGTGATGATGCTTATATGAATCATTTATTTATTTATTATAAATCTATTTATTTATTTATT